TGTTATCGATTATCGGTTTCATCGATTGATCACGCCGGGTTTAAATGATTTAGCTGACAGAAAACTTGCCTGATCCTTTGCCCATTGGGCAATTGAGAATGAAAAGTTACTTGCCCAGCAGGAAAATCTACTTGTCTGGGACAATGGGATGGCACTTTTTTTCGAGCCCTGAGGTAGCCATTACTTTCTTGTAGCTACGTTGTAAACTCTGACTGGAAATGCCAATAGTTAATATCAACTAGTACTCGTTTTCATGGTTGTATGCATTATTTGAATCTCACTTCTTTCTCAGCCAGCACTGATCAGTAACAACAGAAAGGTTAAATGTGCTTTAATTAAGAAATAGAAAACTTGTACTGTGTTTCTATCGAGTTACTGTTATGGAAACACAGGTGGAAGTTTGGGAGATTGAGAAATTCTGTGGGAACATGAGCTGACGGGCAAGTGTTTTCTTAGCTCTTTCAAGTTCATCCAAACTTCCATGAGCATTTCTATTTAACAATTAGATTATGAGCTCAAGATTTCTATCGCACCATAGTGCTCTCATCAACTATCACACATAGAAATCATGAGAGAATAATCTAATTGTTTTAGTATAAATCTACACTTTGTTCAAAACTTTTTCTAAATCCTCTTCTCAGACACTTCAAAAACGCAAAGAAGGGGCCGCCAGTTCGTAACAAGTGGACACTGCTAGGCTGCTCACTATCTACAACAGAATAGATAGTAAGTAGCATTGCCAATCAGAGAACAGCATTGGTGATGGAACGCTAGTAGATTTGTGCTTAAACTCGATAGAAACATGGAGAACATGTTTTTTATTTCTTTTAGAAAATTCTGTGATGAAAGAAGAAAACAACTTGTTTGCTTTGATCATCAAAATGGAAATCCTCTTTACTTGCAACGTCATTACATCAACAGCTCTTGCTAGTTCTGTGCTTCTATTGAGTTTTAGTATAAATGTACTAGCATTCTATCATGAATGCTGTTCTCTGATTGGCTACGGTACTCACTATCTGTTCTGTGATATACAGTGAGTAGCATAGCAGTGTGCCCTTGTCAACAAAATGACGGCTGCTCCTTGGCATTTTCGAAGTGTCTTTGAAGAGGATTTAGATTAAGTTTTGAACGACTATAAGATTTATACATAAACAATATTAGATTATTCGTTCTCAATTTCTATGGCTCAATAGTTGACTGGGGCACAGGGCTGCACGCTCATCAACTATCATGCAATATAAATCTAGAGCTCATAATCTATTTGTTTAATAGAAACTGATTTTAAACCAATCAGTACACATATTTTCTTTGGGCTATTTTCTAGAGTTTTGTACATTGGTGAGGAACATTCTCCAGTTGATTAACAAGATATATACTTTTTGTTTTTAAATGTCTAATGCGAATGATGATAATGATTAAAACTGATTTTGAGAATCTAAGAGTTACATGTACATGTACCAGTGTAGTTTTATTATTACACTGTAAGTTACAAATGTAGATACTTGTAGGATATCATCCTACACTTTGGGCCCAGCATTTGATCTTGGCTTCACTTTAACTTTATCTAAGGATGTACTGTAACTGGAAGTTTCTGTGAAACATTCCCAAACCAATGTACATGTAAAGGGAAGTTTATAACTGGTACAAAAACTAGCAAGGGTTCAGATGAGGTTTAAAGTCAGCAAGTTGATATGGAATTCTAATGTGAAATGATACATGTATATTTGATATGGACCTCTCCAAATCATTACGTTTCTACATGTATCAAATTGTTTAGTCAGGTAGTGGACATTGTTCAAGGGCTTTTGACCTGACACCACTCAGGGCTGTCAATAAGTTTTCAAGTAGATGTCCCAAATTTTAAAGTAGGCGGAAGTCTATTTTTTAAGTGCCAAAAATTTCGAAATATTGATGCTTGAAGATCCTCTTTTCAGCCTTTTGCAGTCAGTATTTGGATCTAAAAAGCAATCATGCCAATGACTATATTTAATATGTTCTATGTTTTAACAACCATTCTTTTTCTTAAAATCTCAATAGTCTCAATCAGGAAATCTGTCCAATTTAATTACCTTTGCTCTACTCACTTGGCTGAGAGTGAAAAAACATACTCAGAAATGACTGCCAGGGATCCAGCTATGTGAAAATGACTTAGGCATTTCATGACCCTTTAATCTTCTGTCACACGTGGGAAACAAACACGTTTAAAACTCTTGAAAAGCATCTTTGCTTTGACTCAGGCATTTGAAACAGATGTCTTACAATATTTTTGCAGGATCCTTTCATTATTTTACAGGTAAGTTTCTTGTCAAACTTAATGGTAAAGTGAGATGAAAGTAGACAGTTGAAGACACGCAATTAGCCAGCTGTTCTGGCGGGCTACTTGCCCATAATGACAGACCTGACCACTGTGGAATACTGAATAATACAAAACTGCAAAGTAAAACTCTAATCTACTCAATGCACTAGTGTAAAATTTGAGTCACCAGCAAGGGTGCTAACAGACTTCTTGTTCATTTGGTTTGCATTTTCAGGAATTTGTGATACAGTTCAGTTAAGCGTCAAACCGTCAGGCAATACATTCCTCACAGGGACTGATTTACAGTTACGATGCAAATGTTATTTGTATCCTCTTGGAAACTACACATTTACAAAGGATAACACTCCTGTGGTAGTGGGCGGGCGAATTTCTGTGAGTCGGAACAAGCTATTCATTTACAATGCAACTGAAGGAGACAGTGGTAAATACTCGTGTAAAGCTACACTAAATGAAACATCATCTCGAAGTTCACAAGCACCATTATCTGTTACTGTAGTTGGTAAGTTTGTCTTCATGTCCATTGTTACAATTGTCAGGTTGGATTAGCTTACTGGGGTTCTTGAGTTATAGCATCTGTTGTTTTCGTTTACCTGAAAACTTGTATTGCACAACATTCAGAAAAATTTGTTCAAAAATAAATCTAAGTGACCATTCCCCCATGAGTACCCCCTCTCCCAGAAACCCCTCCCCCCTTGGGCCAAAAAAAGTAAATTAGTACCCCACGCTCAGAATCAAATCATAATGGTATTTAAAAAATGTTTGAAATCCAAGATGGCAGATATTTGAAATGTATGATGTCATTTTTGGTTTACTGCGACCTCATGATTGACAGGTACTTATCATAATGCTAGTTGGATTTCAAGTACCCTTGCCAGGCTCATGAGTGAGGGAAATAAACACAGGCTAAATTTGGTTTAAGTGTTGGCCTAATGTGTCTTATTACCTTGTTCGCATTTTCATTCAAAGAGGAAATTATTGAGAACACAATATTATTTAATACAGTGTAAGGGTAAGGTACAGAGTTATTGGTGACCGTGTCATGGCCTAATCAGATACTTCCCCCACCCCTCTCTCTCTTTCTCTGTTTACCTTTTGTGGGGTATGCATAGCAAAATTCATAAATTGGCTGATAGTGGCCAAGGTGCCAACCAAACTCATTCATACTAAATCCATATAACGGGCCATAAACATTCAAACAGTGTCATTACCACCATTATCATCATCAGCAGCAGCAGCAGCAGCAGCAGCAGCAGCAGTAGCAGCAGCAGCATCACTAACAACTGTACATGTACAGTACTGCTCAGAAATAAGCGAATCATCAAACGCGTGTTGAACTCGTTGACATTGACACACGTCAGTGCATTTTCACTGATGCATTTGGAAACTTGTTTTTCAGCAACGTGTTTTTTTATTTTATATATCAACTTGTATCAATTCAAATTAATTTACAATGTATGACATTGATTGAAGGAAACTCAGTCCCTTTGATGCTTAGTGTTATACAATTTTTTTTCTATCAACAGTTGGGCAATTTCCTCAATTTCAAGTACCCCCTCCAGGAGAGGTGATAGTTATAGAGAGGAGTCTAAAGCTGATCCCCTGTAAAGCAATTGGAAAACCTCAGCCAGACATAAACTGGTATGCTGGCAATGTTCGGGACCCATTGCAAGACAATGCAAAATACACTATATATCAAAATGGGTCACTACTGATCAGGAATATAGAAAAACCAGATGCTTTAAAGTACACATGTAAAGCGAAGAACTTGGTTGGGGAAACTAAAGCAGACAGCACAGTGAAAATTGCTTGTAAGTGTCTTACAGTCAAAACATTCCAAGCATTCATTTTATGGGTTGTTGATCCTTGTAATAAAAGTAATTGGAAATTTCATTCATTGTTTATTTAAGATTCCATTTTTGAAATGAATAATTCAGTTCTCATACTTCAACTCATTCAATTCTAAGATCCTGTTTACAAAGAGAGATGGTTACCCTAGCAAGCGGGGTACCCTAGCAAGCGGGATACCCTAGCAAGTGGGTTACCCTAGCAAGCAGGTTACCCTAAGCAAGCGGGTTACCCTAGCAAGCAGGTTACCCTAGCAAGTGAGTTACCCTAGCAAGCAGGTTACCCTAGCAAGCGGGTTTCCCTAGCAAGCGGGTTACCCTAGCAAACCGGTTACCCTGGCAAGCAGGTTACCCCAGCACTCACCCATTTCCTCTTTTTTCCTTCATCGTGTTTACAAGACAGCCAGGGTTACCTGGGAAGGTGGGCTACCCTATCTGCATGCCAGGGTTACCCTGGCAGGTGGGTTAACTTTTTCCCTTGTAAACACTCCAGATAGGGTTAACCTGTTTACCCAGGTTAACTTTCTGATTGTTTCCAGACCCTTTGGGTGTTAACTGTGCATTAAGTTGTCCCAGGTTGTAGGGTAACCCTACCTGTGAAATTTTGCTTGTAAACCCAAACTATCTATTGCCCTCCAGCTAGGGTTAACCAGCTTGCTAGGGTAACCCTCCCTCCTTGTAAACAGGCTCTAAGCCCAAATATTTAGAATATCTGGCTTCATGCAACAGCTGCATTAGAATTGAACTGAATGACAATTTTAGCTGCATGCGAATATACTTTATCAACCCCAAATATCACTATTCAACTCCAAATGTTTACAGTATATTCTTCTCATTTT